TCTAAAGTAGGAAATGCATTAAAAATTACCATTTTACAAGCAACAATTAAAAGAAATTAATGTCAGACTTCATTATTTCAGTGATACTGGTAATTGTGATTTTCATGTGAACTGTGGCCCAAAATATGATTTTACAAAAAAACAGATGCCACTAAAGGAGAAAGAAAGAGTCAGTCAGACAGACAGACAGACAGAGAAACAGACTGATACATTACACTGACTGACACCTGACTCATGATAGAGAAACAGAGACAATAACCATAGACAGACCAACAGAAAACTAGATGGGCAAAGTTAAAATTTAAGGTTCACAAGGAAGAAACTTTTATGATGCTTTAACAAGCAAGTGAAACACTTACTGTACACATACATCATTACCAAATAGAAACTGATCCAGGTTTATATCTCCTTGCTGTCACAAACTTTGAAAAGCTGATGTTTCAAACATGAGCTATTTCCTCTGTGCAAAATAATGGCTTGATGGGTGGATTAAGGCTTTAACTCCCAGACCAAATTTGTAATTCTCCTTACAGTCAACCATACAATTCTTATAATGTTAGTTCAGAGAATTGAGTTTCAGATCAACTGATTATCCCCAAATTGATGTTTTCTTTATTCTCATCACTTATTTGGTTGATATTGTATTGATATTGAATTGATATTGTATTGATATTGTAAGGAGAAATTCTGTCTTGGTCACTCAAAGGGTTAAGGAAATATAAATAAACAAACAGCAAATCCTTCACTCACCCAACTCCTTTTACTACTACTTGAGGAGCTGTCTCAGTGATTCCTCTGTCTTTTGTTTTCACCGTACTGTAGCCTAAAAAAAAAACAGAAAATAATGTTAGAAAGCATGCAGTGAGCATTTTTTGCTTGTTTTAAATGAGATGACTATAAAGTGGTAGCATTTGGTAAATACATAACCTTCTTCTGGAATAAAAAGTGACATGATTTGACAGCTAAGAGATTTCCCTAAATCCTTTTACCTCTAAGAGTGACCAGCATCTAATTTCTCCTTACAATATCACCCCTAAATCAAACATGAAGGTCACAAGAATAAATGAAATGATCACCAACTGAAGAAGCTCTTGATTGTTAAAACAAATTCTCTTTGTCAGAACCTTAGAAAAGGTATAGAGTACAGTTTGGATACTGTGTACTGATATTTAAATGTGTAACATGTTAAAACATAAGAGGGTGTCCATGTGCTGATTTGAGCCCCAGCCAGTTATTTACCTACAATAGTAGCAACTGTACTTGTGGCTCCCATGTCATAGAACATCATAAACTGTCAAAATGAAGCAGAAAGGTGTTTTTAGCAAACTCATCAGACACATTTACTTGAAAAGGGGTAAAATATTCCAATGATAAGTCTGTGCTACACTTACTCTCTCAGTATTGTTGAAAGATGCTCGACGGAACACTCCATAGTGAAGCGCGACTAAAACAAAACAACATTGCTGATTTTTAAAATACTACAAAGCCAAATTCAAATACATGTACACACAAAAGTCTAACTGGGTGGTAAGTGCTCTCCTTTTCAGGCAGTAGCCAGTAAAATTTATCTCCAGTAGTGCCATTTATTACTGCTTTAAATCACTTGGAACTTTTGAAAATTAAACAAGTAAAAGGATTGCTTTACCAGTTTGAAAATATCTTTCACCTGCTGTGCTTAAAATGAGGGTGGACACTGGATAGTAATTGAATGTGTTACCCTTTATACTCTTTAACAAGGTTTAACTCTACATTTAAATTATACAATCTGTCTATAAGGTAATTTTTGGCTGCAACTTAAAAATAAAATTTCAGGTTAAAATAGACTGCCAAAAATTACTTGTACTTCAACCTATCAGTAAACTTTGCTCTGCATTGTTCACAGATTTTCTACATATGAACATTAACATAGACAGTGTAAGCTTGGGCTACTGAACAACTGTAACTTTTGCAAGGCAATCATAACAATCCTGTACAAGGCTATGCTGAAGGAACTTCTTTGTCTGTTGATGCAACCCTTAACTACTGAAGTGAAAGCTACTCAGCAGTGCTCTCAAGGTCTTCATTATCCGTTACAAGACTTATTCACATATCTTTTCTTCACTGACCTGCTGTATTTTCATTCATTAACTGAAGAACATTCAGCCCCACCAACCTTGCAGCCCTATTAGCAGAAAAAGACAAGTTTACATGGTTAATAATGAGCGGAAAGCATTGCACCATGCAATGTTTTAAATTAGACACAAAAGAGGAGACAGGGAATTAACGCATGTCAAAACATACCTTAAAACAGATCGTCGTTCGGCTTGGTTGAAAAATGAAGGGACTGTGATAACCACATCTTTCATTGGGTGATCTGAAAAGAAGTCATACCAGAACTGTGCAGCATGTAACAGCAAATTCAATGGTTTTAATCTGACTTAAAAGGAAAAAAAGACCATCATTCAAAATTCATCTCTATAACTCACCTGCAAATTTCTCTGCAATATTTCTGGAGTGATTCAGAATCATGCCAAGAATTTCTTCTGGACTAAAGGTGATCTCACTATCATGTCTGAAGAGAACAGTTCCTGTAAAAAAAAAAGGCAAAAAAACCTTAACAAAGTAAAGATGTACAAAATTTGAGAGAGTTCCATACAGAATTTTAGATCAATTTGAAGAGAAGAGAACTGCTTTAGAATGGAGTAAACCCATGACCCAATGGTTTCTTAAGGAAAGACAAGTACCAACAGGTAGGAATTTGAAAGAATTGTCATCAGAAATGCGAGAGAAACTTGACAAGTCAAGAAGCTGTAGCCCATGGAAACCGTCCAATATAGAGAGTACTAACAGCATGACTTTCACACTTGAAAACATCTGGAATAAAACCTCAAAGAAGAGACTTGTGTTGGTTGGTAGAGAGGTCTAACTAATTACAACAGGACACCTGAGATGATTTCTCTGTTGCAACTGGACATGTTTAACCCTCACAAAAAGTAACCACACATTCTGTGTTATCAATTATTGATAACACAGAATGTTAAAATTCATAACAGTTTGATTGATAATTAAAAATTAATGAATTGCATACCAGTCTCTTTATCTTCCTCAAGGTCATACCATGGAAACCTGAGAAACAAAAAAGAGCTTTCTAAAAATTTATCCTTACACCCTAATATCAGTATGCATATTCTCCATGCTGTTCCCTATACATTTCCTAAGGTGCTGACAAGGAGAATTTGCTTAACAATCAAAAGCTTCATCGGTTGGTGATCATTTCCTTTACTCTCATGACCTTAATTTGTGATTTTAAAGTGATATTCTAGGGAGAAATTAGAATGCCAGTCTCTCTTATAGGTCAAATGGTTAAGAGACCAGTTTCAAAGAGGTAATGACCTGACATCAGCAAAACAAACAGCACTCCAAGTTGCAACTATTTTGGTTCCCATAGTAACTGAATTTGAAGTAAAAGTTGCCAATTGACAATTATGTAAAACCTGTGCCAGTGCCCTATCAAGGGGCCATACGGCAAAACACAAACATGACAGCCTGCTCATTGACTAAATAGAGCACTGGTGACCAGCTTTCAATGAAACTCCTGTCAAAAGTAGTCACACTGTAAAAAATGTAAAAAAAAAGAATCAGGTTATACCCTACTCACCTTTGCTTGTACTGCTCTACCATTGGGTTGCTGAACTTTTTACCCAGGACATTTTGAACATAAATGTAAGAACTCTTTGGATACTTGACTGACTGTAATCACAATCATAAGTGAAAATAGAATGTTTTATTAGGGTAACTTTCACTCAAGCCCTACATGTAGGCTTGCTATAGGGATTGGAGTCTGGATTTACAATCTGCTGCCAAGACTCTAGAGCCAATGCATATATTCATTTTTTTTTTGGCATGTAAGCTTCAAGAACCATTTGAAAAAGTATGTGAAAACAATGTACTGGAAAGATTTAAATTTTCAAAGGCTTTTCAAATGCTTTTTACATATGAAGATTGTGCCTAAACTTTACCAATACAAGGCCAAGAGTAAGCCTACAAATGTGTCTGGATGTAATGATTCTCAGACACAAAGAAAGTAACTCTCACAAGAACTTTCAAACATACCGTGGTTAGAGCACTGTCACTGAATAATCGTTCATTGTCTCTTAGAGAAACAGCTACTGGTGTTTTCCGTCTCGACTCCCTTAGAGTAGAAATAAATCCACAGTCCATTATTAAAACAGAATATAAAAAAAAAATTTGTAGTTAATGTGTTTTGTAATGGTGACAGGACTGAATGGAATCCAATTAGGTCTGAAATCATAAAAGTGATAAACAAAATTGGATAACTGTGATGTGGGAATCCGATTTGTCAATTATAAGTACAATTAGAGACAGACTTGGATGACACAAAGTTCTGTTAATTCCAATTAACCAAAACTATGACAAAATACGAGAAACAAACTAGCCATTGGTTCTATGTTTTCATAAAAAACAACAGTGAACTCCTTGAAATGCACAACAACAGGACATGCACATGACTCATACCCTCCAGTTACACAGACATGAAATGAACACTGCCCAATAAGTTCTCAAATTGGGCTGTAAAGAACCAATCAAATTCAAGAACTTTGTTATAGTTTTGATTTAGTTTTTGATCTGTCATAGCTAAAAACCAGTTGAAGTAAATAATCACAATTGAAAGGAGAGAATCCGAGATAACAAAAGAGATATCTTGATCTGGAGAAAGAAACTCCACCCCTCAAATTTATGCTGTGATTTATGCTGTGACCAGGGCAAGAACTTATTTATGTAAGGATGCAAGATGAAAGTTTTACACTGCAAATTAAGTAACTTTTCTTCTTGTAATTGAAATTTTAAGTCGTGACTTACGTATTCAAGGCAATTTCCATTGGTACACCAGGCTAAAGCAAACCAAAAGTGAAATATTTTCACAATTTAACTATGTATAAATTAATAATCTAATTAGACATTGGCAAATACACAGAAATTGCTGAAGCTACATAATCACACAGTTTGGTAATTGTGAAGAAGAGCTCCCCAAAAAACCTGTCGGCCAACTGTCGGTCAACTGTCGGCCAACAGTCGGCCGACAGTTGGTCGTCTGTTGGCCGACAGTTGGCCAACTGTCGGTCGTTTGTCGGCCGACAGTTGGCCGACAGACAGCCGACAGGTTTTGCCCAAAATATAGGCTACCTGTCGGCCGACTGTTGGTAATGTGTCGGTAACCTGTCGGTAGCTTGTCAGTAAAACGTTAACACAAACCTTAATGTTTTCTCTCGGTTTTCGCTTGATACAACATCCAGCATGTGTAATACATTGACAAGAATAGCCTTTCATAGATTTGGTGGCTCCTAAAGGAGCCGTTTTGTGAGTGGTGAAATATACAAGATACTTCACTCATAGAATCGTGCCTCGAACTTCATTGGCAACAGCTGCCCCTCTCTCCTCATGTTGCTCATGACCGGGATGTAGCGCTGAAGTCTTTTGCGACAGACAACCTCCAGATCTCGCACCGAATTAACTTCTTGGTCGCAGAGGACAAGGTCCAGTTCCCTCGAGTCGACCTTTTTTAGTCCTGCTATCATTGAATCCCATTGATACATACATAACATACCATAAGAGGCCGCGTTGCATTGTTGGGTGATTTGAACGAAAGTGTTCGTATTGATACGTAGCTTATGGTTTTCAGAGTTTTTGGCCGAGTTTTCGATTAAATTATCTTCCAATGCGATTCTTAGATTGTCTCGTGTGTTGTAAATTACACAAGTGATATATATCTGATAACAACATTTTGGAAGAAACGTTTCTTTACATACTTTCAACTTTGCCGTCGATCGGTAAGTAGGTGAAGTCTGTTGAGTCACACATCACCATTACGGATTGTTATGTCAAGTTAACTGTTCGTTTTAAACACAATTTTTCTTTTTTCTTAACCTGTCAGTAACCTGTTGGTTAACTGTCGGTAGAATGTCGGTAACCCGTCGGTCAACTGTCGGCCGACAGTTGACCGACAGTCGGCCGACAGTTGACCGACAGTCGGCCGACAGGTTTTTTGGGGAGCTCTTCTTCACAATTACCCACAGTTTTATCTAGAGCAGGGGTTTCAAAACAAGCCAGCTACTGGATAAGAAGTTGCTGGTTACTTTGGTCAAAATAATTACCTTTTTCACAGTCACCTGTTATTTCAGAGTCTGACACCTACTTCAAAACTTTTTGAAACCCCTGCCAATGGATTGTGTGTTACCTCAGCAGATCAACAGAAACCAACTCCACATCTCAAAAGCAATAAACCTTGTTTGCGAAATTGCTGTGACAACTATTAACCCCTTAACTCCCACATCAAATTTGTAATTCTCCTTACTGCCAACCATACAATTCTTATAATGTTAGTTCAGAGAATTTAGTATTGGATCAACTAATTATCCCCAAATTGATATTTGTCTTTATTCTCATCACTTATCTGGTTGATATTGTATTGTTATTGTAAGGAGAAATTCTATCTTGGTCACTCACAGGAGTTAAAGGGTTAACTAAGTCACTAATCAACCATTAACCCTTTACACCCTCACATAATTATGTGTATTCTCTATAATGCTCTCTATACATTTCCTAAGGTGCTGACAAGGAGAATTTGTTTAACAATCAAGAGATTCTTTAGCTGGTAATCATTTCCTTTATTCTTGTGATCTTAATGTTTAACCCAGGAGTGGTATTGTGAGGAGAAATTAGATGCTTGTCACTCTTAAGGTCAAAGTGTTGACACACACTCTCACAGGAGTGATAAATTATTTTGTAATCATAATACTTATCTGTCAAGCAGATAAGTACCAAGAATATAGAAAACTTTCAAATTGACATGACTTTAAATTCTCATCAAGACCCATTAAAGAAATGTATGTTTACTTGTTGGGAGAATTAGCTTTAAAATCTTGGAAATGAAAAGGTAAAACATACCTTCACTATGGCTACCTTCATAAACTGGCTACCTAGATCCACTGACATCACCGCTAAGCCATCTGTTAACAAGAGAAACAACAAACAAACTATAAATAACTAAATAAAATAACTAAATAAAAAATCATACCAACCTTAAGATTGAATATCACCTATTACAAGTGTTCAATTTATTCATTACCAGACTGATGTTTTTTTGAACGGATAGAAACTTTCTGTAAACAAACAAGACAGTCACATAGCTCTAATAATAATATAATAATAATAATAATAATAATAATAATAACAAAAACAGTACTAGAACATATTTCACAAGTCTCAACTGCTTTTACAAACTTAGAAATAATTAACTCCATTAAATTGGAAATAAACATAGTAAATAGATATATAAATAATGTTTAAGAGTCCCAAGTGACAGGAGTCAAATTAGTTGGCTATATACAAAGACCATCAGAGAAGTTGAATTCAGGGTCACTGAAAAAAAAAATGCAGTGAGTAGCAGGGTGGAGGGCTTGAAAGAGGGACCACTGGATTACAAGACCAGTGCCTTAACCACTTGCCTACTCTGTCTGTCATAAAATTTTTGACATTTGTACCAAGGATCTTTTTCTTTTGGGATCTAAAGCTTATTACCATAATTTCCGGCCGTTTACCCGCACAGCCTATTACCCGCACCAGCCAATTATTGCGTACAGCGAAAAAAAAAGTCAACAGATTACCTGCACTGGTGAATAACCTGCACGTTATGTTATTAAACTTTTTGGTGGAAAAAATGTGACATTAAGGTGATACATTTCAGTCTTTTAAAAGTTGTCTGATCTAACTTTCAAAAACTTGAAAGCTTCTTTGTTGACTTTAAAGGTCAAAGAAATTCAGACATGTGCACAATTCTGTGTCAATATTAGCATGTACTTTATTGATGAAATTATACAGTAAAAACACTAGCAGCCCATGCCCAAATCTCAAGGTTTCATACTTGACAGAATGCAAATTTGTGGCCACATTTTGTGCGAGTGATTGTTCAGCGCCATGTTGATTTGTTGAAAGAAGCTGGGTGAGTGTTAAAACTTGAATTATAAAGCACTCTCAGTGATTTCTGAAAAAAATAGATGTCTCCGGTTCTATTGGGCCTAACAAGTCCCTTAAAACAGGACAATTCTCTTCAGCTCAAGTTGGTGTTAAATGGAGATTTTTTATTGATGCACTAGATATCTTTGGATCATTTTTGTCACCATCAAAGTTTTGTTTTCACACATGCCAATAAAAATTTGTTTGTCATGCAACCAATTTTGCATGAAATAAACTTGAGTCGGCATCATGTTTTCATGCCGCTTTGTGGCACTCTTACAACAGTAAAATTCATTTGAGAGGTGGAAACGCATGTAGGTGAGAATTTTTTTCAATTCAACCACCAGTAGATTTTAAAATTGTCACATAACCCGCACCTCCCTATTACCCGCAGTGGCACACGTTTAATGCAAAATCAACGGATTACCCACAGGTAAACGGCTGGAAATTACAGCAACTGCCTACTTCAAAATGATGTCTACATTCCTGGCAGAAAAATTACAGGCTGAAAGTTCATTTTTCTAATTTTACATATATTCAATTTCTCACCTGATGAAGAGACAAAGAAGGAAAGAGCCACAGCAGCTATAAATAACACTGTTCCTGGCTTTCTAATTAACATTATTGGTTGATGACTGGAGTTGTCCACAACTGCTCCATGAGGGAAAAAAACACAAAACAGAAGTAACCAATCAAATTGTTGGAAAGTGAAAACAACTTTTGCAACTATTTACAAACTAGCTTAGTATAGGATCAATAAGATATTCATACAGACTGAGAAATCTTTTATTTAAATGAATGATTTTTGCAATTTTAAAAAGGAAGTAACGAAGTGGTAATTAAATTTTATGTTCTACAATTTCAGTCTGAGATCATGTGATTTAGAATTAAACTTGCACACCAAATTGCACTCCACTCAGTTCAATTACCAGAATAAATCAAAAAGTATCCCTCAGTTGATATTCTTCTTGCTTCTCATCATCTGTTTGCTTGCAAATGTATTGATAATGTCAGGAGAATTCCTCTCTAATCACACTTGAGGGTGAAATGGTTGATAACAGCTGCACTAAGTAAGCCAAGAGGCTCATATGGTACCAGAGCTCTAACCCTCAGCATGCAAAACGCAAACTGGTGGTACCCATTTAAACCACATTTCTGCAATTGACAAGCTAACAGTGCTTGCAGGCCACCTTGACAATATTTAGTTGACACAAGGTCTGGTTTTTTTCCCCTGAGTACGAGTATGCCATCCAAATATGACACTAATTCTTTTTTTTTTTTTTTCGGATAGAAAAAATTCAGTGCTGATTTTAAACTTAGTATTTAACAAACGTAAATAAATCTGCTTTCAAGGGACTTCTTCGAGATATGTCATCATTTGCAGTGCACGTACACGAGTACAAACTCCACGAGATTGCGGCATCGCGTTTTGTATTACTATAGGTTACGAAAATGTGTATTATAATTTCTGAGTAGTGTTAGATGGATGCATATTGAGCATCTCATAATCAACCGGGTTTTTCGACACACAAGGAACGAAAAAATTAAATGTCAAAGTAAGCTACAATAGTCTCCAAACGAAACACTTGCATTGACCACACTGACAAGTATTCGTATCTAAAATTTTATACCAGTTACGACAAAGAAATAGAAGTTTATACCTACCTCACGACTGAAATAAATGAAAATTACTCCGTTAGGAAATAGGTGAAACTAACAGAAACTCTAAATTTCTTTGAAGGAAACTTGAAAATGCCGGCGAATCTATTGAACGCGGCCAGTGGTGATTGGTCAGCTGAGCCGACGTCGAACATGCGTAGTTTTCCTCTCACCTACACGTGGCTCAATATGGCTGATCCACATTTGCACAGATGATGTAACTTTTTATTAACAAGCTGTCAAAATTCGATGATTTCTCGCCCAGTTTTATTTTTCCCTCAACCATTCAAATGTATGTCCTTAACCAGCTCTTAAATAAGTTTCTATATGGGAATCGATCGACCTATGAAGCTAAACAGGAAGTAAAAAAAAAATGTGCCTAACCGGAAGTGGACACATTTGATGTGAAAAGAGCTGATTCAAGTGTATGAACAACCACCATTCACGTAAATGTAGCTTTTTTCACTTGTCATTAACGGTTAAAAAAATTTCTTTTACTTCAAAAAGCCATCCATGGTATCTAAAATCAGTACAAACTTAAATATCTCGCACCGCAAAGCGAGTTCAAACGAGTTGAAAGATTAGATCACCGTCAGACGATTGGTAGCAAGATGAATGGTGTCATTCACGATACACATAACTCGTTAAAAGGTCCTTCTTTTGCGAGTTTGCATTGGGTGAAAATAACTGAATAGCATTACATTCAGAGTTAAGAACCTTATTTATTATTTATTTGATATTTAATACTGGAGCCGCAGAAAACAACGATAAAATTTCCACACAGCCCCATATTACATAATACATTCAGTTCTTGAATAGAGAAAACAACGACAAAAACAATACATTGCCATTGGGAAAAACAGATTTGTTTAACAATAGTATGGGGCTGTGCGGAAATTTTACCAAAACAACTCTCCTTCCTCAAAAGTGAGGTATGAAGTACATTTATTTTTATTATTATTACTAATATTATTATTACTACTATTATTATTATTACTATTATTATTATTATTATTATTATTATTATTATTATCATAAATATTACCATTTAATACTGAGGATCTCAATGGGGTGATAGATTTTACAGCTAACAGTTGAAATTTTGGCCATTTTACAGTTATGGCTTACTTAAAATGACACATTTTAGAAAGAAAAATTCTTTACAGATAAATTTTTTTTTTTACAACCAAAGGTTAAAATTTGTCAATTTTTGCACCCAACAGCTAA